AGAGCGCCTCCCTCCTTCCCTTTTACCCCTCTCTCCCTCAGAAATGAAGCGTTTCCAAGTCTGTTACCTTCGGTCCCTCATGCTTTCCTGTCCCTTTCCTGTTGTCAAAGCTTCAATCTACCAGGACTCTTTGTCAAAATTTTCTTAAGTAATGTAGATTATTTCCTTCTGAACAAACTCTCAGCTCATTTTTGGGCCCTCTGTGGCCCTTTTCTCTATTCTGGAATATTTTTCTGGACTCACTAGCTCTCCACAAATCTTCATAGCAGGAGTTCAGGAGATAGCTCTGATAAAATCTGATGTTGAGTTTTCTGCTTGTGGGAAGATGTGGGCTCTATTTGCTCTTCATATTGTCTTTATAGTGTGTATGGCATCAATTTACATATAGTTTTTGAGGGCCAAGCAAGGAGAAAGTCCCCGTGGCATGCTCCATTTCCTCCATCCTGACACCTACTCCAGCATTTTATAAACCTTAACGCCAGACAAAGGGGAGGAGGTTGGCAAAGAGTGGGGTAGGGTTATAAGGGCACTGTATGCATGAATGCTCAGATTGATTCTCGCACCTATTAATAAGTCTAAATTCTCCATTTTCCCGCACATGTGGGGACATTCTAATGTTGGTACTTACCCCCTGGTCACTAATACAAAGTTATTGAATAGAAGATTTCAGAGCCACGCTAATTAAAAAGAGAATCCAATTCCAAATCACACTTTCAACAGAACACCCAATTGTGTGGCCCTCCTATACCACTTAAGGCTTAGTGCCCACTGGTTTGTGGCAATAGTCCCTGAGGGACAGCACCCAGCCCTCTCTGTGCTGTCCTTGGAATTAAGAGCCACAATTCCATTCCTCCTTCTCATCTGCACAGGAATCGAGGGCTGGGGCTCCATGATGGAGATCATCCCCTCCCTCTCTCTGCCTGTGCCCCCCATCGCACTTAGAAAGTCATTGAGACAAACTCTGGGGCAGGTGTTTCCTCAGGCCCATCCAGAGACTATAACCAAGAGACAAAATGTTTTCTTTTCTATCATGTCCAAGTTTGCTGGCTGCTTTGGTGTATAAATATAGACAAGGACAAAGTAACAGAACCCGGAAAATTCTGCTTTGACAGGTCAAGCATTGTGGAGGGTCTTTTTGGCCATCTGCCATCTGCTTCTGACACTACAGGTTGGTTAACACAAACCCACTTGCAGCTCTGTTTGTCCTCCACAACTGCCAGTGCAGAGATTTTCCCAGCTTCCCTTACAGCCTTGAGTAGCCAGGCGACAGAATTCTGGGCAATGAGGACAGAAGTCTCTTGGCCGGGAGGAGGGGGGAATATAAGTCTGTGAAAAGTTTTCTCCTGATCAAAGTGATATATGTAGCTCATACTGCCCCTCCTCCTTTTTGGTCCTCCTTGGAACACGGACATGATATCTGGAGCTGGGCAGCCATCTTGCCACCACGAGTTAATGGGCAAGAATTGTTAACACACTCTTCTTGACATTGTACAGCTATTGAAACAATGCCAGCAGTCGCCTACTTCCCATCTACTTTTATGTTGGAAAAATAACACTTTTTGTGTAAACCATAGACAAAAAAACTATGATTTTCAATTTTTTTCTCAACTGTACCTAACAATATTTTTGTAAAAATACATTTTTAAATTGACTGCTAAAATTTCTCATCATAAGTTAAATAATTCAGTAGGATGTCATTTCCGGTGCATTGTAAATGTTGTGATTTAAAAATAAACAGTTATGTCACTCTGTTCAGCTGATGTCATGGAATGTAAATGTGTCAGCAGTTTGATACTCACCATCATCCATTCCTGACATAGATAAATAAGCTCCCCTTTATCAGTTAGAAATTTTACATCATTCCATTTTTTTCTTGAATTATTATTTCTATTCCACTTTCTCCAGAGAATTTAATTCTACTCTAGATATGTTTATGCTGGAAATAACTGTATTGAGTATTCTATTATAACCTTAAGCATCAGAAATATGTATTTAAAATAAAATTGATATTTCTATTTCCTATAACAATAAGGCTCTAAGTGTTGAATATTTTTACCAAGTTATCATTCTAAGTTTTAATAATTGCATTAAATTAGGCAAAGAACATCAACACATTTCCAATTTGATCAATAATTACCAAACACAAAATACACATCTCACAGTGAGATAAGTGGCTGTTTTTCAATTCTTTTAAAATTAACTCATGTGTCTGTAGATAAACATTATCTACTTCTGGAATGAGACAGGTTTATATCTAAATCTCTTACTTGTGTAAACACTGAAAAAATTATTCACAACTATAAGTAGCACAAGTAGGAGTTTTGTAATGAACATCTTGAAAATGATGTGCTTTGATTCTTTGAAAACCTTCAGAATACTATGCCAAAAATCTCATAGCAATCCATTATCAAAGTTACTTTTAAAGGTCTAACAGCTGAAAAATCACAGTTTATTCTTGAATTTTGTTAAAAACAAAGAATTGCAAGTCCTTTTAATGACAAACGGTTTCTTGCTCAGTCATTAGATTTCAAACTGTCCATTTGGTAACCCAGGTTTCCACCCTGGGACAATGCACCATAGTGAGAATAGGGATGGGTGAAAGGTGTGCATCTCTTTTGTAAAATAAGACACAGGAAATTGTAAAAAGTGTGGCAATAAAGAGACTCCACCAACCAAACACAGCACTTTGTTAGGCATGCCAAGGTTAGGAAACTAGAGTATACACAGGTGGAGACTTATCATCTCCAGATGCTCTGTACCATGCAGCCCTGGAGAAGTCTTCATGAGCACACTAAGGTACAGAGAGACCAGGTTGAAGGCCACTGATTTAAGCCCCTGCACTGAGGCTTTCTGTAACAGGTGGCTAATTAATTTCCCAATGACAATATCTTTCATCTGAGACAATATGAAGTTCATCAATGGCCACTAATGGAATATGGAACAAAAATCCCAGCTCAATAACCTTCCAGGAAAAAAATGATAACAAGGGGAAAGAGTGAAATGAAGTAAAATATTATTTGGTCTTTCCATCTGGCACTCTTCTCTGTCATATTTTGTAGGCTTGCTCATTTGTAAAATCTCTATAGAGGACAGACAAAGCTCACCTCTCGATATCACAAATGAGAAAGGAAGAGTGGTCACTGGGCGCCATCCCTCTCAAGAATCTCATCCATAGACGAGTGAGGGGGCCCCATCACCTGGAGGAGTACACAGCCCTTGTTTATGGAAACTTCTCTTCTTTACATTTGTCCTAACACAAGAAGATCTCTCAAAATTCATCTTGGATTTTTAATCAGGAAAAAGAAAACTCAGAGGACTGAATCACTAGTGCAAGTGTTATCTGATTATTAATTACTGTTATCTTGAGATGAATTTTGAAAAAATTTGCAGAAAATCCACTCTGGCAGATATGTGTCTCTAAAGCTCTAAATATTTCATCTGAATACTTACAAAAAGTAAATGATTAAATAATTTAAAGACTAGCATGGATAAAGGAGCATCCTTAGGTCTTACGGGCAAAAAGTGCTCCTAAAACAAAACATCCCAAGAGAATTCCCTAGCAGATCAAACCACCCTCTGCATGCGTGGGCATGGAATCACCCTGGGTGGGAGGGTCCAGCAGCCAGGACCACCATGTGCTAGGGCAGGTTATTCTTGCAAGGAGGTGCCCACAAGAGGGAAAACTGGGGACTAAAACCAGCCCATCTCCACTCCCCAAGCCCTGTGCCCAGGCAGCAGGTTTTGTTGCTGTTGTCTCCATTTGCACAAGGGCTTCCTCTGCATCTGTGGTTGCCCCTGCTGCTGCCTGCTTCTTTGGGTTGGGCTGATTAGACACATCTACCCCATTAAATGACAGAAATGAGATGAAAGAACTAGGAAAGCATAACACATGTCATCATGGTATGGGACTGCTGCTCCTATTTTGCATGTTCACCACTCTGACTGGTCTGCTTTCCACCCACAGGGGGTTACAGTGGGTGTAAGACTGTCCCTGAGGTCACTGAGTCACAGGGTCACAGGTGGAACAAAACATCCAATCCAGCCCCTCCCTGCCTGCTCTCCACATGTGGCCCAGGCTCTAGTTTCCTCCCACTATCCACTGTCCTTCGTTTTTCTTTCTAAGAACCCCACCCCAGCAGCCAGGGGTGGGGGACATTTCTTAGACTTCACGTGCAGCTAAGAACGCTCATGTGACTCAGGTCTGGTCAATGGGATTTACGTGGAGTCTTTGGGTAGCTGGAGAGTCTGGGAAATCTCTTTAATGAGGGCTGATTCAGCTAGCAGGGACATGCTTTATTCTTTTTTCCCATTTTTCCCTTGTCTTGCCCAAATTTCCGTGTGCTGATTGGATACGAAAAGACCATCTTGAAAATCCAGGGTGACCTCGAGGATGAAACCCACCTGCTGAAGAATGCAGAATAACCATACGAGAAATCTGCACTATAGAATACATCATTGAGCGACCACGTCAGCCCTGGACGGCTGGCCTAGCAGCAGATCTTTTTTACATGAGGAAAAATAAAACTAGGAAAGAGAAGAAAACCAAGAGCCGTTGCAGCCACTGTTTTTCTGGTTTCTCTTGCTATCAAGTGGATGCAATTCTCGACAGTATGTCACAGAGAGAAAGGCTCAACTCTCAAGAGGCACAAAAACACCATCAGTTTAAAAAGAAGTGACCTTCTTTCTCACGACTCAACTTTCCTATGGGAAAATTGAAAGACAGCTCACTGCTATGAAACGTGGAGACCAAGGCCACTACAGCTCCATGCCTCAACAGCAAAGAAGGAGCTCTGTGGGACCCAGATGCAGGGGCCAAACATGGTCCTGCAGGAGGGTTCTGGCCCTGAGGACACGAGCGCAGGACAGGCTTCCTGAGCTTTGACAAGAGTTTCCAGGAGAAGCAAACGGGAAATGAAAGAATTAGGAAAGCGCGCATCTTAGGTGCTATTCCATGACAAGTGGTGGAGGCAGAAGTGAGGGAAAGAGGCCCAGAAGATACCGGCCATGGAGGCTGGAATGGTTCACTCTCAGTGCCTGGAAGAGGGACGTGATAAGGAAGGTGGCCCTCAAGGCTCAAAGTCTGAGGGTCACTGGTCCAAATGACCCAGGGACAGAATCAGGGAACAGCCCTTGCTGATTGGCAAATAAAGAGGGCCACAAGTGCTGACTAAAGAAATCTGATCACAGGAAGAAGCCAGTGAGCAGGAATTTGTAGCAAAATTAGCAAGTGGATATGATGTGGAGAACAGGGATTGTCAGAACTGGTGGGAGGCTCCCAAGAAATGGTGAGCTATATCGAATACAATCCTGCAAGTCTGCACTTGGCATCAGGCCTTCTTCAGCTTCCTGGCTCCACACAGCCACCTGGCCACCATGCCCAGCAGCTTCCCACAGAGCCACAAGGTGCCCACGGTGACCACCAGCAGGAACAAGAAGACATCAAGCAGGTACTGCTCATGCCACGGCTGCTGGAATGCGTGGGGCTTGAGGTGTACAGCACCCCCTGTCTGGAGGATGTGGTCGATCCAGCCCACCAGGCGCTGGGCAGGGGTGAGAGGGTGGGAGCGCCTGATGATGCTGGCGGCCACTGCTGCAGATTTGTACCTGTTATGAGAGACAGAGGCGGGGCATTAGTCACTGGGTCTCAGAAGCCTTAGAGACCTTCTATCACATGTGCACTTTCTCCCATATGCACAAAAGACTCCGTTTCAAGGAAAAGTTGTTGGCCTGGCCTTGCCACTGTCTAGCTGAGTCCATTTGAGACGTTCCAACTGGTGCCTACATGCAACTATCCATGCTTAGTGCTAAAAGTGCTCAACTATAAAAATTGAATGTCTGTAAGAACCAGTCTCTGCCACAGGGAGGCTTATAATATACTATAGAAAATTATACGTAATGTAATTTAGAGAGGGCAGAGGGAGAGAGGGTACACACACCAACTTTTTGCTGGTGTCTGGGCTAGGTGACAAGTATGGCTGCACCCGGGAGGATACCTGCACTTTCCTGCCCTTCAGAGCATCATGTTGACCAGCACTGCCTCCATGAGCTGTAGCCTGCATATTTGCACAGGGCCCCACTTAGACAGGTCCTGTGCTTGATTTAATTCTCTTCTGTCAGCTTCTTGAAATATTTAAACTTTATAACAAGGGGCTCTACCTTCCATGTTACGTCGGGCCCCACAATTTATGCAGCTGGCCCTGATGCATGAGGTCTGGGGACCAGCCCAGCCCAGCCCAAATGACTCCTTTACAAGGGCCAGTGGTTCATGGCCATTTTGTATCTAGGTCTTTGAAAATCCCAAAATGTTAGAAACCCATTCTGGAGAAAAGGAACATTGCAACACATAAGACAGCAAATATATATAAAATTTCTAAGTTTTCTTACCCCTGGAGCTTAACGCCTTTTCTAGGACTGAGAATCACAAACTATGTGTCTGTTTTTCAGTCATCTAACAAGAACTACTTGCTGGGCTCCTATGTGCAAGGTATTATGTTAGCTCTTGAGGTTTGATTCAGTTTTGTGCCCTTGAAATTCCAATTTATTCAGTCCTTCTTAGTTATAAGAAAAAATATACATATTTTTCTCTTCACATGAGATCATTGAGCTGGATGGGAAGTAACCTAAGAGATCAGTGGGCCTTTTTATTGACTCACCTACAAATTCCTTCATACTTACCTTGTGGCAGGCCCTGTGCTAGGCCCTGGGAACATTATGGAAAACAAGAGATGCACGCTGCTGTCCTGGGAAGGCTTACTCTCTACTTTCTACTGTGGGGGACAGACAATGAATTAAAACCTAAAGAAATGGAGTTATACAGATCCTGAGAAGTGTTAAGAAGGCAATAATAAACGATGATTGGAGTAGGTGGGAGAGGATTCTATTTAGGACTGTCAGACAAAGACGGCCTCTATGAAGAGGCAATGCTGGAATGAGACCCAAATGGGAAGAAGGAGCCAACCCTGTGAAGAGAAGGGAAGGAGTGTTGTAGGCAGCAGCTCAGACAAAGGTCCTGAGGTAGGAAATTGTGTGACATATTAGGTACAGAAAGGCAACTTCCAACTCAATTGGAATTCCACTGTAAGCACCCCTAAATATAAGACCTCTCAAAGAGACCCTGTGTAAGTAGTTTGGCTTCCTCATAAGAGATAAAGTAGAAAATTATTTTCAGCATCTACCCTAAATTGCCTAGTCTTGCTCACAGAGGAAATAAGTCAGCTGTTAGTATCACACACGTATTATTCCATATCCTGGAAGTTTCAGTTTTTATTGCAAAAAGACCCACATGGTGCCTGTTGTGCTTGACATCTTCATTCACCCTATGTGACCACAAGCCTAGAGACCCGCATACCTCTTGTCTTCTATGACTTGCTTCATCTTCAGAGCCAGTGTCTCAGCCTTGATCTGCTTTAACTGGATAGAGACACCAAACTTTTTGGCTTCTACTCGGAACAGGTTTTCAGGCTGGTCTCCAAAGATGGGAATCCCCACCATGGGCACGCCATGTTGGATGGTCTCCATGATGCTATTTATCCCACCATGGGTGACAAAGAGACGGATGTGCGGGTGAGCTGTTGCAAATAAGAAAGACAGCAGAACATTTTAGAATGAAAAGTTTCTGAACACCAGGTAAAGAAGAAAGGGCAGAAGAAAACAACAATAGATTCTCAAAGTGTGTTCAAACCATAGTAAAGATGATTTTGCTTGGGACACATTCAAGGTTCATGTTCCAACATACAGGATTCCAAGCTTTTGCTTGTATAGAGACTCCTTGCCACAGACAGAACCCAGCTAAGACTGAGAACTCAGGAAATTCTGTAGAGAATAGTGCTAAGCAAGGCATATATCTCCATCTTTCCATTCATCCATCCTTCTCTCTATCATCTCACTGCCTTTCTTTGTTTCTCTCATCTCTTTTCTCCTTGTGTATCTCTCTGTTTCTTTCTTTTGAGCAGTCTTTTCTCCCCTGCCAACTAATTTCCCTCTTCTCTGAAATCCTGACACATTCATTGACATCACAACAGATGTGGCACTCATTAAAACTTACACTATATATGTGTCTCCTCAAATACATGAGAAGACCCTTGAAAGCAGAGACTAGAACCTCCACCTCAGTATTTCCAGTTTCAGAGTTTCCATCCCACCCTTATTTAGAGGTAACTAAAATGATTGTTGATAATGAAGAGCTCATCTCAGCCTATACCCCTCAACTGGGATGTACATCCGAATCTCCTTGTGTTCCTTTCAAATGAGAATCATGTGCCCCACCCCAGACTTACTGACATATATTTGCAGAAGTGGAACCAGGAATATGTTTCTTAAATTCCCCAGATGATTTTTAGCCATCATCTTGGTTAAGACTCTCGGATCCACCATTGGCTATGGCAGTGATGAGTCTCTAAGAAACATCAGATGGCACAGAGCAAACCTGTTGGAGAGTGAGGGGACTCTGTGGTACCAGAGACTCAATGGACCAAAGAACTGGCTATGAGGTTGCTCAGCTCAGTACTCAGGTATTTTGGCATATCCTAAAGACTCTGTGGGCATGAATGTTGTGAAGGTATGAGTCACTCAGACCTTCACAGCTAAGGAGGATGTATCTGTGTGTGTGTGTGTGTGTGTGTGTGTGTGTGTGTGTGTGTGTGTAAGGGGACATGGGTGAACAGGTGCTCGTGAGACACTAAATACAGTGGCGATGTGCCCCTGGTATGTGTTCTCAGAATTCACAGGTTATTTTGGACTGTGTTTGGGTGACCTTGCTCAAGACAAATGCAGTAGGTCTTTGTGACTTTAATGGCTGCTGACATCCAGCACGGGATAGAAAAGAATGAAGGGAAGATAGGTGTTTTGACATCTGATCTCATTGGAATTATAGCCTGATACCCCAAGAACTCCAGCTGGCTGCTCCATTCCTGCCCTCTGGAGACTTACTCTCAGCTAGCAGAAGCTCCTTCTCATGTTCATGGGATTGATTACCCAACTAAAAGTCAGAGCCCTGATGAGCCCTAAAGACATGTAAATGTGATGAGAGATGCAGATCTTCTTACCCAGGAGGTCACTCTGAGGAAGCCAGTCCACAATTTTCACATTTGCTGCCAATTTGATGTCTTTGGGCCAAAGAGAAGGCTTACACTTCCATATCACCCCTTGAGGGAGATGAGCAAAGGCACTGTTCATCTCCTTGAGAACTTCCTGGGATGAAGAGCTGCTCACCATGGAGCCCAGGGACACAAGGACAAAACCAGAGTCTCCAAACTTGGCAATGAAATTCTCAAATTCCTGGAGAGAAGTAAGAAAAGCAAGGAGGTGAACAAAGTTGGCCATGAAAGACAGGATAGCCATGAAATGAAAGTCAGCTATTAACTGAACACATCTTCCTGTCACTCCTAGAGATCAGTGTCCTGAAACTATTATCATAGCCCCTGGGACAGTTCAGCATCCTCTGCATTGTGCTCATGCCCGTTGTGTTGGTGGGAACAGCTTTCCTCTTTGAAACCCTGACCCTAGTATCAGAGCCATCCTAGACCCTCTACTCATTTTTGGTCCATGACAGATGGGAGTTTTCCAAAACCAGAGCAGAGGTGGTTGTAAAGAAGAATCCCAGTGGGGATCAGGGTCCAGTAGAGAAGGTAGGACTCCTGGAGGTTAGAGAGGAGAAACTGGGAGAAGGACTCTGGCATAAGAAGAAGTGAAGACAGAATAGGGAAGACACTTGGCCATCCATAGAGCGTGCATTGCTCTAACATTCCATGATATTCTCAGTCACTGATCTTTGCAGTCTATCTCCTACCTCAGTGGTTCACCCACATGACTGCAAATTATATCCACATGGGAAGACTCTTAAAAATGGCAATGCCCAGTCCCAACCCCAGACCTGGGCACCACACTTTTTCAATTTCCCCAGGCAGTTCTTAAGGAGGGTTGTGACCTAATGTTTCAATCTTGGCTTTAACACCAGTTTTGTCAATCCTTACTTCCAAATGTTGCTTAGGATCCTGACTCTCTCTGGGCTTCTGTGGCTCCTTCCCAACTCCTAGACCCTCATCCTATCGGGTTGACTCCATCCAGCATAACAATGCCTGATTTACCATCTCAAAGGACCTATTTAACTGACTTTTATAATTACAAAAGCAACATAAGGCCATCATATAGAAATTGGAAAATACAGAGAAGAAAATGTATTGAAAAAAGCCTCTGTTATTTCATAGCCACTGCAACCCTTACACCGACTATGTTCCTGCTTAACAATTCTCTCCCCCTTCCCTATGGCCAAGGCCTGAGCCACTCTCCTGGGGAAGATCTCCTGCACTCTGGCCTGCTTATATTTGTGCAATTGAACCTTCCACTATCTAGTCTAGACAAAGTCACGGAGGGAACTCTGAGTCATGACCATCTCACTTCTACCTCCACAATTGGGGCTCCCTGCTCTCCTCACCTGAAATGCCTTCCCTCCCAGCTCCATTCCTAAAAATCCTGCCACCAACTCAGAGGCCATCTAGCCCATGGATCATTCCCTGCTCACTCAATGCAAGGTCAGTAAAGGAAAGGCAGACACATTGGTATCTGGAAGGTCCAGGTCAAATCAGAGATCTCCCTGGCTGTGAAATGAATGATGGTGGGAAAATCACTCACACCACCTGAGCCTCTGTCTCTCATTTATGAAAATGGAAATCATCATACTTTCCTCTAGGTGGCAATATATATATATGAGATAAACTCCATAAAATGGCAACCCAGTGCTGATAGGCATCAGACACCCAGCTATTCTCAGCTCCTCTCCATTTTGAAAACTTCTAGCAGTGGTTCTGAGTCTAGGCATTCAAAAACGACTAGGCAGCTTTTCCAACTTCCAGTGCCCAGGTCTGACCTCACATAAAGTGAATCAGGAGGTCTACGTGGAGTTAGGCTCTACAGGCTGGGGATGCTGGAGAAAATGCCTGCAGTCAGTCCCATGCAGTCCTGGCCTTGGTTACACTCTGTTTCACAGTGTGTGTGTTTCATTGTGAGTCTCCTTAACAATTCTTCCATGTGACAGACGCTTACTGCATACTTACTGTACATATGCTCATAAAATGCACATGAAAATTATCAACTTACTAAAAGGCTTATCCTGCCAGGGTCAAGACTAGGGCGAGGCAAGAGAGGACTCTGGGTGTAACATTTAAGGAAGTCCTCAGTCTCAGGGTTGTGCAAGTGCTACCACTCTACTTGCATGACCCTGAAAATGAGTACTTCCTTAACAAGTGTGCCCTAGGTGCCTACTTGCCTCACTCTACTTCACTCACAGGATGGCGCTGGCAGGGGCAGCCACCAGCTCTGCACTGAAGACCTCTGCATGAAGTCCATATTGAGAGCTAAGGTTTTACTTACTTGTGGTACTGCTTTAACAGGTTTGGCCGTTAAGCCTCCAACATACACAGTGTTGGGAAGAAGAGGCCGAGCAAAATCAAAGGCAAAGTCAGAGTTAACAAACCACAACTCTGCCTTTTTCAGAAGATGAGACAAAATTGGCCTAGAGCCTTCGGGGAAATGCTCCTTGATGGTGTTGTCAAACATAGAGTGGATTTGCCATTGCTTCATGGAGAAACCAAAGAACATCAGAAAATTCTTTAGTCGGCCCCAGAAGTCCATACGGTCAGTCAGGAAGGAATGTAACATTGGCACATAAGACAGGGGTCTTGGTGGTCCAAAGTCCACACCACCAAATGAGGAGGGGAGAACGGCCACATATGGTTTCCCAAGCTTCTCAGCAACTAGGAAAGGACAGAAGTCAAAACTTTCAACTATCACCAGGTCGAAGTTCTCATTCTTTAAGGAATCCATGATATCACTTCTCCTTAGCAAATGACTGCACTGAAGTCCCAGCAGTTCCATCAACTTTAAAAAGCTTTCAAATGTGTCTCTGAGAGAAAGAAAATCAATGATAAATATTCATTGCAAGTGTTAATTTCACAATACATAAAGAATCTCGGGCTACGAAGGAATCCCCAGGTAAGCAGGACCACACCTAGCAGCAGCATCCTATTCCACCAAGTCCATTAATACTCTCTTCTCAGCCAGGCTGGCAGATGTTCTGCTCCTGAGAGTGTTTCCTTCCTCCTCTCCCTTATCCTCTCTGATCTACATCTCAAGCACTCCCTAAGCCAGTTCATTAGAAAATTTATCTTGGAACTCTCAGTTCTTGAAATCCATGGGCACAGCTGAATTACCTTTACTGAAGTTGAACTGTCACTGTTGGCCCTTCTGTTCCAGGAGCCTTCTATGACCATAGCCGACCTCATAGATCTCTTTCTACTTGATAAATTCTGGGATGTTCTCCTTAACCTTCATTTACATCCTGACTCTTTATGAGTGATTATCCTGTTATTCAGGCAAACTGTAGAAGTTACTTGATAGTTACTATCAAGTAACTTCTATCCCAAACATATTGATGTACAGACTATTTTTTAAAATCACTGTGTATTCTACATATGACAGATCACCTCACCCAAGGCATTCCTTGATCGTATCAGAACTCAAAATTTCAGATAAAAATAGGAATTCCACTTTTCTATGTCCACAGGTTAAGCAGTGAAAAAAAACACCTAGTCCTGAAACACATTATTAGCCTTTCCACTTCAATTAAGTCTGTGGTATCCAGAGAAAATAATGGCAAAGCTTACTGACAAGTAATTAAGACCTTGTTTATGGGATCATTCCAGGTAACTATCCTCTTGCAATGTTATCCCAGCACTGCCTGTATAGAACATGATCCTGTTTCCTGTTTGTACAACATATGGGAAAATAGGTGAGGATGTCCATCTGCACTTTAAGGTACCAGAGATAACAGGTGCGAGGGCCCAAGACATCATGGGCCTGCCAGCTGCATGGAGGACCAAGAGAATCAACACCCTGGCACACCTGTAATTGTATGCCACTACAACATCACACCAGAAGGATCAGAGGCTGAGAATTCATTAGCAATAAGCAGATCTCTGCCTCATCTTTAGGATAAACTTCAAATCACACAATAGAAGTGATTGGCTGAAATCATCCTCTCCTGTGTAATTTTTTTGTGTGTGTGAGGAAGATCGGCCCTGTGCTAACATCTGCCAATCCTCCTCTTTTTTTGCTGAGGAAGACTGGCCTTGAGCTAACATCCATGCCCATCTTCCTCCACTCTATATGGGACACTGCCACAGCATGGCTTGACAAGCCGTGCGTTCAGTGTGCGCCCGGGATCCGAACCGGCAAACCCCAGGCCGCCACAGAGGAGCACGCACACTTAACCGCTTGCGCCACCGGGCCGGCCCCTCTCCTGTGTATTTTTAAAGATTCCACCTAACATAGGAGTGGTTGTCAAATATTTTAGATAATTTCAGTAATGCTGTAAAAATTCCTACAATATAGTTAATTAATCATATTTCAAATTTAGCGAGTAAATAAAAATAAGTTTCAAGAACACACAGTTACCTCTACCTGTCCATAAAAATATTAAATTAGGGGAGAAGAGACAAAGCACATACTTAAAATATATAACGAACAAGGCAAGATCATATAAACTAACAGTAAGTGTCAAATAACTGGGTTAGATCAGATCTGTACAGGAGGGACTGGGATCTTCCAATCTGAGTGAGGAAAGAAGGCTTTATGGAAAAAGTCAAATTTGAGCAGGACCTTGATTAGTATATAGAATTTTCAAGGTAAAAGGAAGGGGTAAGGCTTTTGTAATTACCCCAGATAGACATGGATTTCTGTCTTTCCACTTTTATGTCTACTTTAAAGGAGTTATGTGTTCCTTTCCATTCAAGATGAAGCAAGAGGAATTAGCTTCATGTCTTATTTTGCACAAGGTCAATTGTTTTTTAAAAAGACTTCGCATGGCCGAGATACAAAAGGTCAACTACTACAAAATCAATATTCATAAGTTTGCCCTTCATTAATGCATATATGTGAGGAGAAAGGAGGAAAAATAAGTGGAAAGAGGTGGCTCTCATTTCCCTATCAACAGTGAGAGGTTGAGGTGCTTATGCTTCTGTTTTGGGGAGATTATACACAAAGATTGTAAGTGAAATATTGTAAGGAAGTACCAGAAAAAACAACTCCCACTTTCTACACAAATATATTCATGCTTATAGTGGAAGAGGGATAGTACAGAGTAAGAAAGAATCCCCAGTGACGGGACTGGATGATTTGGTGAGAAGTACTTGTTTATCCAACCATCCACATCGTCTATCCCTTCATCCATCCATCCATCTATTCCTTTCTCATATCCTCAGTCCAAGCATACATATCTCCATCCACTCATTTGTATCACTAAAATAGTGACTCTTTGGTTCAAATAATAAAAAGTAATTACCTGCCAGCCAAAGTTTCTTCCATAAAGAAATCAAAAAACTTCATGAATTCTTTGTTATAATCTTCAGGTGGAAGCCAAGTGATAACCTGGTATGATTTTTCCTCCTCTTTAAAACCTAAAAAATCATGAATGGGTTAAAAATGTTAAATATGTCACACAACATGGGGTAACATATGTATGATGATAGCAAAATTTGTTGGTTGCAATAAATTTGTATTTATTTGAATGTTTGCCTTTTGAACTATTTTTCTTTGGTTTGGTTGCTTTCTCATTCAGTCAGTCTTACGTACTGAAAACATGTATTGAGAACCTTACAAAGATTCATGAATGCTTTTCAATTTACGGTTATGGAAGGTTCCATTAAAAGCTTTTACTGAAGGTATAGCTATCAGTCTCACTTTACAGGTGAGAAAATAAAGTTAATTGAGTTTAAGATAATTTGTCAATATTACACACATAGCAAGTGGTACAGTTCGTATTTAAAGACAGGTCTCTTTGATTCCAGAGCCTCTGCTCTTTCTATTTAAGAAAAATTCATTTTCATTATTTAAAGTGATACATCCAAATCATTTTTTGATTTAGTAAAAGGTACTTGATGGCTTAATGAAATAGTAGTCCTCTGCACCTCTACTTACCAACTTGGCTTCTCCCTCATTATCCATGTGTAATACAAAGTCTGAGTCTGTTTTTGATGTTTGACTGCTGACAGGTTTCAAGCCATGTCTCCCACTCCCTCTTCTGTGCCTCATCTGGACAAACTGTTAAGAAAGTCCATATGCTCCCTCTCTTGGTCTTAATGGGAGTTTCAAACCGTGAAAGTCAGGCCAGTGAGGGGGAACCCTAAACCCATTCCATCCTGCTACCCATGATGAAAACTCAAGCTATACGTCCATCCCTGCTTTGGTAAGCCATATTTTAGATATGCTTGGGAGCCTATTCTGCTCTTCCAAAAAAGGCCTTATTATTTGAGTAATAAATCTTTCATACTCTCTTAATGCATGTGTGCCTTCATCAGTCATGATATCTAACCTAACTGTGTGTAGGGATCAGGAAGAGATTAATGCATGGTCCCACACATTAAAGCTCCCATACCCAATCTTAGTGAAATTATTGACTTGACCCAAGTATTTACTGGCAAAGACTTTACAGTCATAGATTGGGCTAGTATGTTCTGTTCAGTAAATATTTCAACAGGCTTTCAACTGTAGTTTGCCTTCACCTTGGAAGGGACAGACTACACTTCTACCTGATTATCCTTGGGGTATTTCAACTGCCCTACCAGTGGCAACAATCTTTGTCAGCAAGATCTCAACCAGATCCAAGTTTCTCCAGGAGCACAGGTATGACATTACACTGAGGACATCCTCCTCCAAGGAAATTCATATGCCACACTCATTCAAGACATGGAAACATTCACAAAGGAGTTCACACAAAGGTATGTGCCATTGTCCCCACACACAGCTCAAGGCCCAGTACCTCAGTTATATTCCTGGGAATTATGTGGTCAGTTTAAGGACCCTTTATCCATAACACTGTCAAGAAACAACTATTAACTCATACACCACAACATTTCAACAAACCCAACATCTTTAGGCTTTTTTGCATTCTGGAAACAACATATTTCTTAAGTTTTACTTAAGTCCATTTATGCTTATTACTTAAAAATCAGCCCACTTTGAACAGAACCCCCAACAACAAAAAGTTCTATAATCTGTCCAAACTGCAACACAATAGGCATTGCTATTAGTGCCCCCCAAAGTTGCCTTTACTCTAGAGGCTTTAGCAATCTCCTCTCATGCCTCTTGGAATTCTCCTGACCAATAAGATGACTGTATTAGTTTCTTATTGTTGCTGTAAAAAATTACTATAAACTTAGTGTCTTAAAGCAATACAAATTTATTACCTCATAGTTCTGGAGATCAAAAGTCCAAAACAGGTCTCATTGGAATAAAAGCAAGGTGTGGGCAAGCCTGCATTCCTCTGGAAGTCCTAGAAGATAATTCACTGTCTTGTCTTTTCCAGCTTTTAGCAGCTGCCTGCATTCATTGGCTCATGGCCTACTTCCAACTGGCAATCATGTTGCTCTGACTTTTCCTTCCATCATCACATTTCTTTTTTTTACTTTCCTGTCCTCTTCTTCCTGATAGAAGGCCCACCTGGATAATCCAGGATAACCTCCCCATCTCAAGATCTATATATTAATCACATTGGCTAAGGCCCTTTGCCCTTTAAGGTAGCATAGTTACTGGTTCCAAGGATTGAGGCACGGATATCTTTGGGGGGACGTTATCTTCCAACTATGTTCTGCTCTCTACAACTGAAACACTCATGTACATTCCACGTGCAAAATGCATTCATCACATCCCACCATCCCAAAAAGTCTCAAACAATTACACCATCAACTCATAGTTCGAAATCTCACCTAAATATCATCAGCTCAAAAGTCCCAAATTATATCATCCAAAGGATTTAATCAAGTATAGGTGAGAGTCTGGGTATGATCCTTCAAGGGGCAAAATTTCTCTCGTTTCGTGGTCCTATATAATTTGGAAATGAGTTATCTGCTCCCAAGAAAGAATAGTGGGATGGGTTGTAAAATACCAATTACTGACATTATCATTCTAAATGCAACAAAATGAAACAAAAGATGAGTTGTCCCTCCTAAGATATTTTGACACCCACTAGTCAAACAATATTCGAATTTAAGGACTGGAAATAATCTTCTGTAGTTTGAAACTCAGCCCTGTGAGCTTGAAGCTCTACCTTTGGGGCTCATTGTTTCACTCTCAGACTTCTCCTTTGTTCTTCATAAAAAGTATCATGAATTTGCAGCTGAATAGTTTATCAGCCTCTTTCTTACTTTCGGGAAGTCTAATAGCCTTCACTCATGTAACCTTCTCTCTGTCTTTTTCAGTCCAAACTCACGATGTTTCTTCTCGTATAAAATTCTCAAGTACGTTGTGCATCTCCTGGGTATGTCATGGGAATTCACTCCACTAGACAAGAGGCTGCTCAATTGATTTTTACAAAGTAATTTCATCTCTATTTTTGACATCTGTCAATATGGCTGAAGGGATCCATGAATCAAAAACCTAATCTTCAAAGAGCTCTATATGAGACTAAATATTCTGACCTTTTAATCTTTCAGGGGCAATAGCAAAAAGTTGTCCAGCCACACCACTGGTTATTTCTACAGGATATCTCTACAGGATTCACTGCTCCTCACAGTGAATCCTCTAATTTCAAAATCCTTTGCAATCTGGGTCGGCTGATGATTTCCAAAATCATAAAGTCCTGGTTTCTTTATGCTTAATAGTTCTTCCTTCAATTTATCTCTTTCTTCTCACATTTTACAATAAGCAGCAAAAAGTCTTTACTATCTATATTTCTAAATTTAGAAATATATATTACTATTATATTTCTAATTTCAAAATTCTGTTTAGGATGATTTACATACTGTCTAAGACCAGACAGATTTTCTCTACCATGCTCCTCACTTCCTTCTGAGTCCGCATTTGCAGAGCTCTGAACATCCGCGTTTCTACTAACAATCTGTTCAAGGCAACCTAGGCTTTTTCTATCATGCTACTCAATGTCCTATCAGCCTCTACCTGTAACCCAATTGTGATTCAGGATATTGGTTGGAGCAGTAGTATATGTGATCATTAGAGATTTCGCTACTGCAGTGCCACTGATAGCATTTATTTATTAATGTTGTAAATAAATAAACAAGATGGGGAAGTGTGTCCAAACAAGGAGTTAGTGAATGGTTCAAATCTTTCAACACACTGAAACGGGCATCAGAAATCATAACCCAATCATGTGTTTTCCTTATTTGCAGACAATTAGCCAGGCTGTACTACAGAAGTGAAGAATGAATATGTTGTTTCAAAGCCTCAAAAATGCTCATGAATGGGGAATAGTCAAAGAAACTCTAGACACTTAAGCCTGGAACCTAAGGTTAAAACTGATGGGATCCATCAACTTCCTCAATTGGTTATAGATTTTGGTATACACATATTTTTTAAAGAGGTAGAAGGTCTGTAGCTTATAGTAGTTTCTCAAAGTTCACGGGAACTCCCAATTTTTAAAACAAAATTTTGATATGAGTTGATTTAATCTAAAAAATCTTCATTAAATTTAATTATGATTTTTAAATTGAAAATAATTACATTAAAAATTAATATACTAAAGCTATTTAATCAGATCTGTAGTCAAGGCAGAGGCAAAAGGATGTGTATATAACTGACGTTCAATGAAGAATACAGAACCTAATCTAGAAGGTGACTAAAATGGTTTTAAGTAGGGACTCAAACATATATTTGTACACCAGTATTCATAGCAGCATTAATCACAATATTCAAAATGTGGAAACAATGCAAATGTCCACCCATAGAGGACTGGTTTATCAAAATGTGGTATGTACCTATAATGGAACCGAAACATATAAAACGAAACAAATTCTGATATATTCTACAACATGGATCAGCCTGAAGACATTATGCTAAGTGAAATAAGCCAGACATAAAAGGACAAATAGTGTATAATTCCACTTATATGAGGTATTGAGAATAGTCAAATAATTAGAGAAACAAAGTAGAATAGTGGTTATCAGCGGCCGAGGGCAGGAGGTAATAGGCAGTTATTGTTTAAAGGGTACAGAGCTCCATTTTGTGATGATGAAAAAGTTCTGGAGATGAACGGTGGTGATGGTTGCACAACGATCTGAATGTACTTAAAGTCACTAAACTGCCCAGAAAAATGATCAAAACGGTCAATTTTATGTTATGTATATTTTAGCACAATAAAAAACCTAAAAGAAATTTTCACAGAAAAACATTGTTTTAAAACAATCTGAACAATAACAAAGCCTGAAGTCATGTTCAAATTTTCATAACTTCTCAAAATTTTGTTCCTCAAAGGTGTTGCTTAATATTGGATTTTTTTTTTTAAATCAAAGCTTGAGAAACACTTCAGATGGAGGAATCCAGAGCTTAAAGTCTGAAGTCCACTCAAGACTATTATTAACCTGCATGTGACCTTGAGCAAATCATTTCAGTTCTCTGACTTGCCAGTCCCTTGTCTGTCAGAAGAGGAGAGATGATAAGATTTATGAGCTCATTTTGCTAAAATTTTGGCATTTCAATGACACAGTTAGGAACTTACAACATCACTATGCACAAACTCACTGGCAGTCACTGATTTTTTCAAGAAAACAGCATCATCTCAATGATAGATTCTAATCTCAGCTGCATAAATAAGGAACTCTCTGAGAAATTCCTTAAATTCCTTAAATTTCAGATATCATAAGAGTAGAACTTAATCTATGTTATAGAAAAAGAAAAGTGATCCTTACCTATTAGAAATCCTATTTATGGCTGAACACTTCTGCTCAACGTATTTTCAACCCACGTTATAAAGTAGCATTTAAGACATAATCTTAATAATGTGTGGAGGATTGCTTGGGATGGAGTAGAAGTCCAGGTAAGGGAGGAAAATATGGGACTACAGAGTGCAGAGTCTTGGACAACAGAGCCCAGAAGTTTTCCAAAACCTTACATAAACACACACACACATTCACATACCTTTATCATTCTTTCAATCCAATTAGATTTTAAAAACTATTTGAAAAACCCTTGTATACAAAAGACATTGCTGTTCTTTGCCTGGAGTAGAAAAAATCAAGAATTAGTGAGAAAAGATACCTGATATCAATAAATTTGCTCTCTGGAGAAGCAGGGTGACATTATGACCATGATCTTGAAGAATCTGAGACACTCGGTCCATTAGTAGATAATGGCTTCCACCTAGGAGAATGCACAACTTCATTTTGTAATGATGAGAACAGAGATTCTGGGGTCAATGGGTGATAAATCCAGAAAACGAGGGGTAGGGAAACAGAAAGTTGATGGTGAGTAGAGAAAGACGCACTTCATCATTTGAACTTTCCATATCCATCAGGGTACACACTAGCCCACTCACCCAGAGCCTGCTGGCCCACATCCTTCACCTGTGGCAAACTTCCATCAAAGATCCCCTCATGTGACTCTGGTCTCCAGGTCAATGTGATGACTTTCTTGGTGCTTAGGCCTTAACGCGTTTCTGATCCTAAGGCGCATGCTGCATTTTAGCTGGGGCCTTATGGAGACAATGTGTCCCATAAAAATAACCACACTAGAGGAATTTTGGCACAGTGCTGTGCACGTGAGTGTGAAGGGTCCTAATGGATGACCATTTAGAGCTATTTCTGGAATCCTTCTCTTTGGAAATTTATGCTAGTGTAGAAGCCAGAAACACAGGAGCTTAAATGTGAGTCCAAGAAACAGCCATTGGAGCAGAAGGACATGGAGCCACCACTTAGAGCCCAAAACCTTGAGATTCAAGTGTATCTGACAGGACTTTTCTCAGCTGGGCCTGAATTGTGCAGAACATCAAATTAAGACATTGAGGATAATTGTGGGGCCCATGGAGTGGGCCTTCAGGATCCTATACGTATGAAGACTGAGATATCACCCATCCTAGGAAAATCCTGGAATCTTAAGGAAAGAGAAGTTTGATAGTCAGGGGAGGTACCAGTTCCAACACACTAATGTCGTCTCTTAGACCCCACATTAACATGGGGCCTTTGCTTGAATTTAAGGGTCTCAGCAGCAGACAAAGTCAGATCAGGAGAGAAGTTCACGGCAAATGCCAAGAGTTTGGAGATGGGAGTGAGAGGGGTGTAGTGCTAGAAAAATGGTGTGTAGCTATTTCTGTTTTTTATACCCAGCCTTGCACAGTCTGAAGTACCAGGGGAGGTATAAAGTATAAATGTCCTGCATCTCATATCCACATTTTAATCCATATTACACCTGGGAGCCAGGAAGAAGGGGTGACCACACAGGCATCCAACCATGGAGGGTCTTGTGAGCCCCAGTGCATCTTGGGGCAGAGAAGGGGCTTCCAGCACCTCACAAACCACACCAGCTCCCTCTCAGTCTGAGGCAGAAGAACAGGGTAGTTTCAAGAGATGAGGAAGCTCTTTTGCTTGATTATTACTAACAATCAGAAAGGGGAAAAAAAGAGCTTTCAAATGGTGTTACAGGGTTTCTTAAATATTGATTATAAAAGCTGCCCACTGAAAAGTGGTGAGAGTGGGAGCTGTGGAGAGGATGGTCTTGGTGTAAGAAACGCTGAGTAAATTCGTGGCGTCGGCCATTAGGGAGGTCTGGTGTGATCTGTAAAAGGCGCCTCCCTCCCCTGACTCTTAGTTTCCTGCTCAGGAAAACATAGCAGGAACTGAATTAAATGATTTATAGTTCCTTCTAGCTCTAAGATCCCCTGATTCTCAGTGACCTAAAAGTGATCTAAAGGAGCCCACTGTGGGTTGATAAAAATCTTGGGAAATTCCATCCTGTGATGACCCTTTATCCTGATATATTTTTTCTTTTCAAATGCTATTCCCATTGATGCAAAAGTAAAGGAAATAAAACTGAGGCCACAAAATGCAGAAAAAAACAGTTCTAGCAGTCCTTTGAACACTTCCAGCAGCACGAGTGAAAGAAAGGGGGACCCAGAGAGACCCAAATGGCCAGGTCCACTCCTCAGCTCCAGTCAGTTCTCCAGGTTTCCCCTGGATGAAAACACTCCGCTCTCCTAAGTGTCATTGAAATATCTTCCCTGCTCCACCCTGGCTCCCATGCAGCTGAGAAAATTAGTGCTGCTGCCCCCAGGAGCACTCCCCCTAGCCCTGCCCCTACCTCTAAGAGCCTGCAAACACTAGCCACAGTCTCTACTGGCAACTTCTGCGCACCCCCGAATGTCCAGCCCGAGCCCGGGAGAAGCAGGCCAGGAGTTTCCTGCACTTGGCTGGATCTTAAACTTCTGGCCATGGCTAGTCCTGAGCAAGAAGGGAGAGGAAAGAGTATTTCTGTTTTCTCCAGAACTATCTTCTCCACCTCAGCTGCGGTAGAGGCCTCTCCCTGCTTCCAAAAACAGCACCCACCCCTTCACCCTCCAGCCAGGAAAACAAACCCGCCCAGTCTGGAAAAACCCATGAAATGAACCTCTGACCAAGGGCCTTTTGCCTAAGCCCTGCCTCCAGTGCCTCCGACGTGCCTGTTTCTGGATTTTTTGGCCAAGCACTCACCCACCAAGGACAGAGTAAGGATTTTGGCAGCCTCTGAGATCAGGAGCCCAGGCAGAAAGGAGCAGATGAGAAGCAGCGCGCGCGGACTCCCCATGCTCACTCCTGTGCTGTGTGCCCTGTGCCTGAGCCCCACAAGGGACCTGTGTGAGCCCAGCACAGGTGGCGCCCAAGCAGTGAAGGATTGGAGCTGGCTGGGAGCCTGGGAGACAGTAAGAGATGGATCCCGCCTGCCTCTCTTCTCTCTGTCCCCTCTTGCCCTTCTGCCCTTCCTCCCTAGGTTTCTGTTCCCTTGGATACTCTGCCCTCACCCTCCCTAACCATGGGCAGTGGGAAGGCGGGGTTAGTGAGCTGATCCTTAACCCCTCTCTGTCCACTAATGATCACGCTTTCTGCATAGAAAATGCTCTGAAGCAGGAATGGTAGAGACTTGAGGAAACCATGTGGATGAGAGCTCACCTTGAAGTGCATTAGACCTATCTCTGTTGTATGGACACTTCCTGAACTTATGGTACTCCAGTCTAACTGCTCTAATTACCTCACACTGCCATCTGCATGCCCCATTTCCCCATGTACTTGCTTAAAAGGTGTCCCAAGATCAAGAGACACTACACACTAGAAGCAGTGTCTACTCCCTGGGAGTAGTTTGTTTCTACTCTCTGGAAGCAAAGCCCCAAGGGAAATCGACCTACCATTCCTGGACTATATCTCTGAGGGCCTCTTAAGGAGGGAATTTATTCATGAAGAGGTGTTAGGGTCCTAACTCTGGAAGTCCAGGTCTTTACCTGAGGACTGAACCTCTAAAGCGAGACTATAATTCTGAACAATCATCATAAAATAGGACTAGGGATCTTTCTGTAGTCTCCTCAGGCACAAGCTTAGGACATCTTGTAATTCTGCCCCCTCGTACTGTCAGCGCTGGGAAGGACAGGCATGCAAACCCCAGAAATCATCTATGCATTTTATATCCCACAAAACAAGCCTTTCTTTAGTAGAGGTTTCAGTGCAACTCTAAAACAGGCAGAGAAAAGACTTGAATGTAAGACCTGAAACCATAAATCTCTTGGAAGAAAACATAGGCGGTAAGGTCCTTAACATCGGTCTCAGTGATGGTTTTTTGGATTTGACAACTAAGCAAGGGCAACAAAAGCAAAAATAAACAAGTGGGACTACACCAAACTAAAAAGTTTCTGCACAGCAAAGGAAACCATCAACAAAATGAAAAGGCAGCCTACTGACTGGGAGAAAATAGTTGCAAATCATACATCTGTTAAGGGGGTAATATCCAAAATATATAAAGAAATCATACTACTCGATAGCAAAAAAGAAACAATCCAATTAAAAAATGGGCAAAGGATATGAATAGACATTTTTCCAAAGAAGATATACAGATGGCCAACAGAAACATGAACAGGTACTCCGCATCACTAATCATCAGGGAAATGTAAATCAAACCACAAGGAGATATCACCTCTCATCTACTAGAACTGCTATCATCAAAAAGACAACAAATAACAAGTGTTGGTGGGGATGTGGAGAAAAGGGGACCCTTCTGCACTGTTGGTGGGAATAAAGTGGTGTAGCCACTATGGAAAATAGTATGGAGGTTCCTCAAAAAATTAAAAACAGAACTACCATGTGATCCAGCAATTCCACTTCTGAGTGAAAGTGGAATTTATTTACCTGAAGAAATGAAAACACTAACTTGAAAAGATATGTGTACCCTCATGTTCATGTTGCATTATTTACAATAGCCAAGATAGGAAACAAAGTGTCCATTGATGGATGAATGGATAAAGAAATTGTGGTATATATATACACATTGGAATATTATTCAGCCATAAGAAGAATGAAATCTTGCCATTTGTGACAACACGGATGGACCTTAGGACACCATGCTAAGTGTAATAAGTCAGACACAGAAAAACAAATACTGCATGATCTTAAAACAAAATCTTAAATTTTGTTTATCTGAATCTTAAAACAAAATCTTAAAACAAAAGCCAACAAACTGAGCTCACAGATACAGAGAACAGATTGGTGGTTGCCAGAGGCTGGGGGTGTAGGTTGGGCAAAATTTGTGAAGGGACTCAAATGGTAGAGTCTTCCAGTTATAAAATAAGTAAGTCATGGGAATGTAATGTACAGCATAGTCACTATAGTTAATAATACTGTATTGTATATTTGAAAGTTGGTAAGAAAGTAGATCTTTAAGGTTCTCATCTCAAGAAAAAAATTTGTAACTATTTATGGTAATGGATGTTAACTAGACTTACTGTGGTGATCATTTTGTAATACATACAAATATCAAATCACTATGTTGTACACCTGAAAGTAATATAATGTTCTATTTCAATTATACCTCAACAAAAAAAAATTTTAATGAAAAAAATAAAAATCCAGAGAGAGGCCTTCAGTGGATTCCTTACCTACGGGATGAAATAAGGCTCTGAATTCTGTTTGTACTATTACCATCTTCTGTCTCAGGTCTTATTTTTCCATCTAAATTTAAAGCATTACAGTCTCATCCATGTGTGCATCCTTCACATAGCCATGCCTGTTTGTGGTGAGAGAGAGAGAAGAGGGGCTTTACCAGGCATCACAAGGCTCCAGCCCATATATTATTCTTGTACCTCTCATAATGTACTAGCAAAATAAGGGATTTTTTAATCTAACTCTAACTTATGCATTTATTCAACAATTATATTAATAACTAATTATACTGCAGGTGCTGTCCTGCTGGGCAGACAGATGCTAAACACAATAACAAATAGAGTATATAGTATGTTAATGGCAAATGCTACTAAGGAAAGTCCAACAGAGAAGGAGAGGTGAAGGGTCAGCTATCAGGAATATCAAAATTTTTAGATGGTATGATTCAAAACAACTCTAAAAATTTATGAATATCAGAGAAATAGGAACACAGTATGTGATGATATTTAGTAGCTACTATCAATTTGGAGAGTGTTACAATGTTATTTTGGTTATTTAAAAAGAGATTCCTTGTCTCTTAAGATACATCCTGAAACATTTACAGATGAAGTATTATGATATGTGGGGTTGGTTTCAAAATATTGGGGGGTAAGGATGGAAGTGAGGTTGAAAGTGGGTGAGAATGTAAAGGAAAGAAAATCAGTCAGGAGTTAGCAATCATGGAAGCTAAGTGTTGGGCATGGGGAGTTTTACTTTTATGAATGTTAGAGATGTTTCATTCAAAAGTTTTTAAAACTCTCTCACTATGATTCTAACTTTTCCTGTTGTTATTTCCATTTTTGCTCTATGCACTTTGAGGCCACATCAGTAGATGCATACACATTCACAATTACAGTTTCAGGTACTATCCCTTCCCAGTGAAATAATCAATCTTCATTATGAAATCACCAATTTTGTTTCTAGTAAGGCTTTTCACTGAAACTCTATTTTGTCTGATATTATTCCTAACTATTCAGGTTTTATTTTCCGTTAGTATTACATGACCAATCTTTTTCTATCCTTTTATATTCAACTCTCCTGTAGCCTCATATGTTAGATGAGTCTCAAAAGAGCAAACAATTTGATGTTTTTAATCAAGTCTATTGAACTAGATAAGGTTCAACTATCTATTCAACTGTTGAATAGATAAGGTTATTAGAGAAAAAAGAGATATTTGGGCCATTTGTCTCCTAAAGTGTCAATTTCCATAATTACTTAGTTTCTATAAATCCAATTAATTTGGGGACTAATTAATGAAGTCATTTCCCACAACTTCAACATACCATTTCACATTTAATCAAAAAGAAATTGTGAGTCAGGCAAAATATTCTAAATTTGCTGTTTTGATAGGTATGAAACATGTCAGACAAATAAATCTGTACATATATATTTAATTGTGGAAAAAGAGTCACTATTTCATTCATGTTCCCATTCATAACATAGTGAATAATATAGATATACAGGGGCCGGCCCCATGACATAGTGGTTAGCTGCGCGCGCTCCGCTGCTGGCGGCCCAGGTTCGGATCCCGGGCGCGCCCCGATGCACCGCTTGTCAGGCCATGCTGTGGCGGCATCCCATATAAAGTGGAGGAAGATGGGCACAGATGTTAGCCCAGGGCCAGTCTTCCTCAGCAAAAAGAGGAGGATTGGCATGGATGTTAGCTCAGGGCTGAACTTCCTCACAAAGAAACAAATAAATAAATTAAAAGATTTAGATATACAGTGATAGACAGATGTACGTATCTACTGATATGCAGAATTCTGTAGAAATAATCGGCAATGAAAGTCTCCTTACTGTATGGTTTTGTTTTTGGTGATGAGTTGAGATAAGGTTTGCATTATCTGACTTTCCAGTTTCCTGTTGTCCTGCAGGACCCCACATTTTCCCCAGCTGCTTTTTTTTTTGTCATCACCAATATTCAAAGAGTGCCTCCCTCCTTCCCTTTTACCCTGCTCTCCCTCACAAATGATGTCTTCCCAAGACAATTACCTTGGGTCCCTCATGTTTTCAGGTCCCTTTCCGGTTGTCAAAGCTTCGATCTACCAGGACTCTTTTTCAGAATTTTCATAAGTACGTAGATTTTCTGTTTCTGGGCAATGTATTGGCTCATTTTGGGGCCCTCTGCGGCCATTTTCTCTTTTTTGGACTGTTTTTCTGGACGTACTAGCCCTCCATAAAGCTTTGTGGCAGGAGTTCGGGAGATAGCTCTGCTAAAATCTGATGTTGAATTTTCCACTTATGGGAAGATGTGGACTTTATTTGATGTTTTTCTTGATCTTTATAATGTGTATGGCATCGATTTACATGTAAGTTGTGGAGGGACACGCAAGGAGAAAAGTCCCTGTGGCATGCTCCATTTCCTCCATCTTGACACCTACTCCAGCATTTTATAAACCTTAATGCCAGACTTAGGGGAGGAGATTGGCAAAGAGTGGGGTAGGCTTAATAAGAGAACCATACGCATGAATGGTCAGGTTAATTCTAACACCTATAAATAAGTGTAAAGTCCCCATTCTCCCACATGTGTGGGGACATTACTATGTTAATACTTACCCCCCGGTCACTAGTACAAAGTCTTTAGCATATAAGATTTCAGAGCCATGCTCATTCAAAAGAGAATCC